GGGAGGGAACAACTGTAGCTGGAGTAATCGAGAAAATCACGGTTGAGTGGGCCAGGAAGGAGCAATCAGAAAGACTTTGCACAGAGCGATATGGATGAGGGAAACTACACAATGAAGTAATCAGATAGGAGGATAAACATAAAGGAACTTGTTTGACTAATTCTGGCTGAAGGCATCTATAGCCAAAGCCTGAGGATGGGGAACCGGGAACCAAAATAATGATAACTGGTGATTGAGGGTGGTGGCAAATGCATCAATATGAGGAATACCCCACCAATCACAAAACCACCATAAAACAAGGGCATAAATGGACTACTTCATCAGGTAAACTTGGTCAGGTTGGGAAAGATGATCTGCCACAATGTTGAAAGCACCTGGTATATGCCACACCATCAAAAGAGAAAATCCAATGTTAGAAAACACAGAGATCTCGTCTTGGTGATTGATATGAGCCACCACTGTTGAATTTTTGGAACAGATCATCACCAGACGATCTCTGGAGATGGGAAATAAGTGATCCAAAGCCAGAAGAACAGCAAAAGTTTGAGGACATTGATACAAAGAGAATGTTCTCTGACAGACCAATGACCAAAAGCCCCCTGATGATCGACCCACACACCCCAGCCCTGAAGAGATGTATCCATGAACAGATGTAAATCTGGCCATGGAGGAGGAAGTGGGACATCCACCAATGTATGAGCCTTGTCCAATCACCATTGGAGATTGTCCACAATGTAGGAAAGAAGGGTTATAGGAGCATCCAAGGGATCCTGAGCAAGGGCCCATTGGTTGTGGAGGACCCATTGAAGGGATCGCATATGAGCCTGGCCGAAGGGTATGAGAGGAGTCATAGAAGACTGATAGAACCTTGCAAGCAAAAAGTGAAGGAGCAGACAGGGCATTCTAAACAGACAGTTCCATAGAACAGAGCCAGAGAGGAGAAGGTTGGGCCCGACTGAGATCAGTGTTGAAGAAAATGCCCAGATGAACGAGGTACTGGGTAGGATGAAGGAAGGACTTCTCCAATTTGATCAACCAGCCCACCCGAGCAGCTTCGAGAAGGAGCTGACGAATATGACAGACTATGAATATGGCATCACGACCCAAAAAGACAGACAGACAGGCCAATGTGGAAGTGAGGAGGGAGAGGACATCTCCAGAAAACCCCTCAGACAGGAGATGGATCGAGGAGAGGTACGGCAAAAGTCGTCAGAGTAAGATGAAGACGGGAATACTGGGCATTGGTAAGATGAGTGGGAGATTCGGGTCCCACCCCCCCCAAATAGGCAAAACTGAACCCAATGATTGTTGGTCCAAATATGGACAGTCTGCCCTATGATAAGGGAGAGTAGACTGATCCAAAGCCTACGAGGGAAGATGCATATTAATGCCATCATCTAACTGGGAGGCGAAAAAGTGTGAACCCAAATATCAGGCAGCAGGGGGAAAACCTAAATAAGGTTGGGAGCCAGAATCATGTTATAAGGACGTTGGTCATAACAATTAGGAACAATAGCCAAAACATTACATACCTGAGAAAGTCTAGAAGGGCTGAACAGAATCCTCAGGTAGGGTTTGAGGAGGCACAGTGAATCTCATGGGGAGAAACAAATGATCCTAATCTTTGTCAGCCTGGCCAGGCTCGAAAGGCTGAGGAGGAAGCAGGGCAACAGCAGAATACAAAGGTTATCCCATATAGTACCCAATCTCCCTGTGAATAAAGGCCGATAAATCCCCCAACGGGTTGCCCCCACTTGTGGCCTGAATTATGGCATCAGGTGAATGAGATGTACCCAATGTGATAATATTAACTTCGGAATTCATGCTTGATACTAAATAAACAAGAAAAATTTTTTGTTGTGCAAAACACAGGAAAATTAAATTATTTCAAAAATAAAGTGAAAAAAATTCTTGAAATAAAGAAAATTAAATTAAGTTAAACCACCTCGAGAAGTAATAAACAAAAAGTAAGACATCTTAACTCGATCACTGCCAAACGAGAAGTGATGGTTTGGTAGTGGTGCACAGAGGGAGTCACATAATAATAGGTGGCCAGATGATGCATGATGATTTGCATGAGAAACACGTTTGAATATTTGATTCCAATAGCATGGTGCAGAAGGCTTGTGGCATGCATTATAAAAAAGTTTGCATATAGAGGGCAGCACAAAACGAGAAAAGCTAATCTTGTGAGAGGAGGGAAGTACCCTATCAAAACAGAATTTTCTTACATTTTAAAATTATATTTTGTAACATAAATTTAGTTCACCATGTTCATTTAACTCTTATAGGGTACAGTTATTAAATCCTACATGTAGTTCTCTTGACTTTTGTTAGATCTAAAGTGCAACAGCAACTGGCTGAATGTAGTCAGCTTCAAATCTTAAAAAGTTATCAATACTATTGTAACACCAACCTACCTTAGATTTGGTCAGGTTCAGTAACTAGTAGTTATCATTATATTTAACTGAAAGCAATTATTTTACAAGAAGACACATTTTTATATGTATGCTGGAAGATGACATTTCATGCTAGCACTCTTCAGTGTGTTGTAAAGGTTAAAACAAAAACTCATGCAGGATTTGGAAATTGCATGTGTAGTGTTTTGAATGCTGATTATAAAATTGTTTTGGAAAATTACATGTACTAACAACCACAATGAAGATATGATTGATGCTAATGAATTACTCCCTACAACCAAGTATCTCATTGTAAATTAATCTTGAACTCCTTTTTTATATCTTCTCCCCAAAACCCACAAAGGACATATGGACAAATCAGTTGCAGTTTCCCTACAGAACAAATATCCTGTTACCTTGATGAAGTTTTACCTCCCTTTGTCATACATTTACACACACATATATATAAAGGACACCACTCATACAATTACTTTAGTCAAAAATATACACTTAACTAGTAAGGAACAGTACATTTTCACCATGGATACAAAATCAATGTATACATCAATCCCACACAATGAAGGTTTAATTATGCTAAAACATTTCTTAGACCAGAGACCCATACTGGACCCTCCAACACACACTTCTACATTTAGCTGAACTTGTACTCACACTTAATGCCTTCATTTTTAATGCTACGGACAGATCTGTGGGTTCGCTATGGGTATAAAAATGGGTGACACCTTTCCTATCCTCATTGTTGGATTCACCAAAAATTGTATACTTAATCAATATAATGCATCAGTACTCACAATGTATTGTCACTACAATGATGCCACTTTTTGGAGTTTTCTACATTTCATATCCTCTTTCCAGCATTCTTTAGAACTTACGTGGGAAATACTGAACAGAACACTGCCCCTTCTTGACATTAAAGTATAAGTACAAGACAACTGTCCAACCACTGCTATACATTATGAAGAAGTAGATTCACACACTTTTCAAATATTCCCATCCACACAGTAAAAAAAATCAGTACCACATTCACAACTTCTATGATTTCACAAACAATGTAGTGACAATAATTAGTAAAAATCAAAAACAAAAGACATAAAACTTTTCTACTTTAAAAGAATCTATCCTGATTCTCTTATCCATGATGCAGCCACCAAAGCTAGTTCATGTACCTAGGAACATTTCATCAAATCAAAAAGAAGATCAAAGATATTATACTAAGCAATTATACAATACTTACTGAAGACCCAACCACTACATTTATTTTCAAGAATTCACCCATTATTGCTTACAAATGAGACAAAACCTAAGAGAAACCCTGATAAACAGCAACCTTAAACACAAATAACAAGATGTACTAGGTAATCAAATGTGTAAATGAAAAAGTTGTGTCACCTAACATATAAACAGAATCACACATACAAGGAAAGAACACAATCCTTTACATGCACTACTATGTATAAATTTTGTATAATTTGTAAAAAAGTAAGGTAGTCTATACATTGGATAAACACATGAATATCTAAGCCATATTAAACTGCAGAACACCTACAAGAAAACATTCCCCTAACAACAACCATATAGTTAAGGATTTATCCATTCTGAGACATGTATTTGCTCCAACATAGATTCACAAAAGAGAATAACTTAAGAAAGGAAATTAATCAACAACCTGTGAATCCACAACCACCTGGTTTAAATAAATGTTTTTCTTTCTTATAGAATTACACTTTTTCCATAACTTGCTTTAATTTTAATCTTCATTTCTCATCTTTTTACTTTATTCCTTGTATTTTTTATAACTTGTATAATATTCATATAAAAGATGTAATTTTCCAAAGAAATTTTGTAATCAACATTCAAAATACTGGGTGCACAATTTTCAAATTCTGCAGAAATAAAAAAAAAATATATAAAACATCACAATTTTGTAAACTAGTCTTTAATTTCTTTATCTTCATTACCTATGCAGTTAACTCTATTTACTTCTATCATTATTTTTAATACCAAACTACAATGTGTATAATCATGTCCAGAACCCAATAGTTATGATCTTGTTTTCTAAGGTACATCTAGGTGTGTTGACTTTGTTTAAGTTCAGACTTGTGTGTTGACTTTGTTTAAGTTCAGACGTATTAGAAAGGTTTAATTTCTTGTTCTTCCAACTGTGATAAAGTTTGGAGCCAATTGCTACACAGTTTTTTTATATAATTTTTTGGACTGTGGTCAGGTTCAGGTCCTGTTGTTAAAGTTACATGTTTTGAACCATGTATTTTTCATCTTGTTTTAACTCAGTTTTTGCAACTGTTATTGTACTGTAAATGATAAAATTATCATCCTGTCTTTAAAAGTCTAATGAGTGTGTTTATTTCCCAAACTGTACATTGTTCTGTTGTTACTTATGGTCAATGTGTTAACTTGGGAAGTATATCCCAATTAGTTTCTGTATACACTTATTGAGAAAGATATTCCTGTCTGCTTTCAAGCTTCTGTGATGTAAGAGTATACACAAACTGTGGAATAGATAAGTAGTTAATATATTTGGAATACTTAGTTTGTTGATGATTTTTTTTTTTCCTTTTATAGTTGCCATTTGATTTTAAGAGCAGAAACTTAATACGAAAAGCTAAAGTGTAAGTACATGATCACAGTATTTTTAATACTTTCTATTATAAGTTATTTAGTATTAACCCTTATTAATGACAATTTATTCATTACCATTATAAGATACTGATATAAAAGATTTAATGTTACCATTTTCAGCTAAGGCAATTTGATAACACCATACTATGTAATCATGTCTTTTAGTCCCTTTTAAAACTTCATATGCAGATGTAATTTATTTTTACTAAGCTAGAATCAAGAATATGTAAGATTCAATGTAACTGATGAAAAATCCACATTAACTCTCATGTTACTGGTTGAGCTGAGCTAGGCTAGTACAATGTTTCTGTCCATAGTGATGTTGAAGAAACAACAATTCCAAAAAGCAGGCTGTTTAGAGTCTATTTGATAATATAACAGATTAAAAAACTAAGAAAGAACAGAAAACAGTCTATACTCTCGATTAGATCAGTAAAGCTCTGTGAACTTGTTAGTTTGATGCATTTTAATGGTTTCTTTGGTTGTCTGAGGCTTTATGCTCACTTCAAAGCAGAATGATACAAGTCTTATGTACTTAGGTTTGTATAAAATTTAATTATTTATTCTTATTGGCTAAATCTAATTTGGCATCTTAAATTTTTCAGAATGCTTATTCTTCTGGATGATGGTAGATAATGCTGCACATGTCACAACTTTTTATCAAAGTTGGTATTAATATGTCGTTAATAAATCAAACTAATATCATACAAGTTTTAATTTCTTAATTTCAAAAGGAAATATTTAAAGAAATTTTGAATCTTCACTTAGACAGCTATTCCACCCCTATTTAAGCTTTTGAGTTTTAATGCAAATTACAAATATATATTATAGATATTGTTAAGATATAATAAAACTTTATAGCCTTCAATCACATACTATCTTTCAATAAATATCATAACTCTCTCTGACATTTACTATCATATTATTTATAACTAATACAAAGAGAAGGTTTTAATTTACTGATTTACATATAACACTAGCTAATCCTCACAACACTTATTGGGTGTACAGATTCAGAGTTTCTATCACTAAGTTCACTTCAACAAACTAAGGGAAGCATTTTAACACACTTATAGCTTAGTTAGAAAGCCAGTTAAACTATAATAGTTGTAAAACATTGTATGCTTTATATGTGTATTTTGTGTTCTAAAATGAATATTTGAAAAAAAAAAAATTCAGTGAAGTACTAACAAGAATTTCGACTGCAGAAAAGTACGACCCACACATAAGTACTTCTTTTCTTATTTTTATGTATATATTTTTTGTTTATGTATTGTTCTAAAAATCAGTAAAATGTAAAAATTTAAAAAATCAAATATAATTTTTTTTCCAAAAGACATGCACTTGAGAATCACATGCATTATGTGATTCAATATAACTGAAGTCATACAATGTATGTCAGTCATTTCTTCTAATAAACTGGTGGTTGCAAGGTTGGCCAAAATTACCAAGCCTGTGTAGAGTTTTAATGAGAATACTATACTATCTATTACCATAAACTCTTGGTTGCTGAGACTTTACTGGAGGTATATTTCAACAATTTTATTGCACCTTACATATATGTTCTGATGCTTGTTTTGCACCAGCAACAAAATTTATTACATAATGTTGCATAAAATACTTTGTTTAAAAATTCGAGAGCTGTATGATGGGTATTCTTTATCTGCCAGCAATCCAACAGGTGTACATACATCATACAGCATCATGTTTGATAAAGTGATACAACGATAAAGAAATTCAAAATGATATCTATCTATTTATCATATATGCTACTTCAGAGTTTGTGGTATGCTTTCTGACTGAACTAAAAAACCATGTGTATTATCTTTAACCTGTAACTTAAGTTCATTCATAATCTTTCTCACTTTTCAGATCTCCTTACAGCCCTCAGAACAGTTTGTGAAATTAATGAAGATTTAGTAGCTGAGATGTTCTAAGAGTCTTCTTCATATTTATTTGGCTATGATAGTTTAACTCTCAAAGTCTGCAATGCCTCATGGTGTTTAAAAAAATATGATATTGCTGTGGATTATCTTCTGTACATAAACTTTCCTTATTACAACTAACACAAATAAATGTATTATACCTGTTGTTTTTTTTTTTCATTTAGTTGGAGAAAAAGTTTCTATTCACCTTGAACATATAATTGAAACTAATAATACAAAAATATTTGTGTTTTGTTCCTGTGCCAAATCATTACAATATTCAGTGCTCTAAAAAACAACAACAAGAAAAAAGATTCACTACATAGTACGAAAGTAATTTTTTTTTTTTAAACACTAGATGTAACTAAATATATTGTTTACTGGTAATCCATACTGGTTACAGGCTCAGTCTGGAAGTCCCCACTGTAACTGTTATCCCTTCTGTATCTATGGTGATCTTGTGTAGAGTTACTTTCTCTAACCCCTAAAATATAGAGTAAATCATTTTAATACAGTTTCAACAACAACAAAAGATAGTTTCTTGGAAATAAAACTATAACTGATACCATTATCTGACTTTAAAACATAAAAATCAGTCAGATTTCTATCTAACTCTCCTACATTACACATTTCATATTTAAAAAAAAAAAAGAAATTTCTATTGTACTTAATCAACACTAAAGTCAAGTTACTTCTGCTAGCAAGACTTGATGAAGGAAGCTATCCACTGTTACATGGGATAGTTTATATCCTAAATTACACTGTACGACTGTAATATGGAGGAGAGATACTTTCAGAAGCTTATTACCTTAATTCCGTGATTGCTCAGCTATAGAAAGAATTTTGATTATTTTCAAGCAGATTTGTTTCTGTCTCGAGAGAGAGACAGGACTTGTTGTGAAGTCACATTGTGCTACTAGTGTTTAGTCTGCAGATCATGTGTGGACCTTTTTCTTTCAATTAACTAGTTGATCCATTTTAGTTTATTCAAGTACTGTAGTTAAATTTATATTGCTTAAATACACTTTGTTTCATTCACTTGTTGTTTTAATACAGTTTGTTTTACCCATTGAAACACTTTTCTACTTGAATGATCAGACCATTTTCCTGTTTCCTTTAGCCAATAAAATTTTTTTCAACTTCACATTGTGACTTGTCTCCTTCATTCCACCACCAACAAATATCCTTCAAAATATTAAACCTATAAACTTTGCATGATCTTTAGTAATATTAGCCAAGTTATAGACAGTGTAAACTCTACTTTAACACATCTCTCAGGAGCAAAGAGGTGTCTTTACACTACAATTTGTTGAATATTAAAAGTAAGTTCAATCCAGAAACTCCCAAAGAGGGTGGTTTTGGGCATATCTTTCCTAGAGAAGTTTTATTTGTTAATTGATAAATTTTTAAGTGAAATACAGCATCCTCAAGTCTCTATACTAGCTAGTACTAAGGTCTACCCACTTGGAGTAAATTCAGTATATATATCAATAAAGCCACATTCTTAGCATCATTAATTAAGCAATTGTCAACCTTCTATGCTTCTACTATCACCTTTTTATGTTTAGCTTTCAACTAAGATATGAATGATTTCACTTGCAATTCGGTAGGGAAGATCAAAGCATCACAATAGGCAGCAGTAGGATGAGCAGACAGGAACACTGTAAAAGAACTACAGGCATAATATTGTACTTGGCTTGCTGCACAATATATATATCAAGGTGGTTCTAAATAGTTCCTGAATACCTCTGCATGTCATTTGGAGACTTGCATGCTTCTTGTGCTTGGCTGTTAAGCTCGTGATGCACTGACGGATTTCAGTCACCTTACCACTTCAAATCACTTTTTACAGCCCCAATGCTAAAAGAGTGTGAGAAATGCCTTTTTTTTTAGCCAATAAACATGTCCAGAAAATTTTCGTTCAAATTAAGAAAAACTGGATTGGGTAGTTTTTTTTTTTTTACAACAAAATTGTCCCCCACTGGCTCATGAGAGGCCTGTTAAAAAAAGTTTATCACAAGATTTTAGTTATGAACAATGCATGAAAATTGTTCTTAAAATATAATAAATATGAAAACTAACAGCAAGTTTACCTATACTCTTTATTTAATGGATAATTCTTTGAGTTGTATTTTTATAAATGCTAATAGAAACCTTTTAAAAAAATAACTTCCTACGTGTACAGGAACAACTCGTGTTATTCTAAAAAATAGTTAACTTTGATACATTTAGGAGCCAATAAGAATTCTGAATTATGTTCAATGAAAATTTGTATAATTTTGATAATAATTATTTTTATGCATCAGAAAAATGTTGAGGACAGTTAGCCAAATACAAAATCAATCTACTCAGTGATAATAATAATGTAACATTAGCTTCCATTGCACTGACACTAGTAAGTAATGAACAAGGAAAATCTTTGTTGTGTTGAGAATATATAATGCTAACAATATGCAATGCAGCTAAACTATGTAGATTCATATTATAATATGTGTTGCATTCATGGTATTTAACTATAAAGAATAATGAAATGAAATATGTTTAGAATAACTAGCTTTATACACTTATAACTTGGGTCATGTTAACTGTTGTAAGCAAATAATGACAAGCTTTGTGTTTAGAATATATTTATATATAACTACTGTATGTGTTAGTGATTAATAATTTTCAACAAACATTAAGTTAATGTGTTGAGAAGTTAACTTCAAACACTACTAATTTTCAAAATAATCTTCTTTGTGTTAGGACATTTATAGATTTTGAAAGTTATATTCATATATAAAAGAAATATATTTTTCTACAACTTTTGGTTTCATATCCAAGATCTTGAATTCTTAGAGATCACTTTAAACAATTTTCTGTGCATTTTACTTTGCTAAACATATATCTTAGATATTTTAAAACAATGTTTACAAAACTATATTCCATGGTTTTCTAACAAACAGAACATCTACAAATAATTGTTCTCATTTTAAAATATAAGAGCTTTTCGATTAAAAATACATAAACTTTCACCAGGTTCATCTTAAACCAACTTTCAAGATTTTGTCAACAGCCAGTGTCAAAATGTTCAGCAAAAAGTACATACCATTCTATGGAATGTGGAATTCAATTCATTTGTTCTCACATCAAACAGAACAATTAAGCAATGATATATACAATCCAAGGACACAGAATCTGTATTGTGTCCTAAGTAGAACATTGAAAATCCCACATAATGCTAATGCTGCCTAAGTAACCGAGTTACTAGAGCTGTGTGCTTGAATATGCTGGAGAATTTTTAGAACAGTTTTTCATTGGAGAATTGGCCAAGGCCAAGGTCACTTAGACAGGGGTGTGAGAATGATTGAAAAAGAGAGAGATACAAATTAGCATCGAAAGCACAAAAGTGAGAGTAATTTGTAGGTTGAAAATTGTTTAACTGTGAAGATTTGTTTTGATTGTGAAGTTTAAATAAACATCAGTAAGCCTTTCTGTCTGGGTGCATTCTTATCTACCATGAAGCTATTTCTCTGTATTTGCTTTATAGCAAATCAAGAATTGAAAAGGAAATTTTGAGTAACTTTCTGAAAAAATTGATGCAACGTCATGAACTAAAATCCTCTCCCTTCATAACATCACAATAACATTAGCCATTCCAAAATCGATTTACAAGGCAGCTTTGTGCGAGAAGCTAATTACAGAAGAGTCAGATGTACTTTGAGAACTTAAATACAAAATACAAACTTCATTTGCATTGAAAAGTTACTAATGCAGTAGTCAGCTATGTGTTAACAAGTTAACTAAACAATAGCAACCTGCTTTGTACTGAGAAGATAACTGTGAAATTGCAACCTTCTCTACATTCAAAAGTTAACTACAAAATATTCAGTTCTGCATTGAGGATTTAACTACAGAACAGTCTGTTTTGTATTGAGAAGATAACTGCACATTAGTGAGCTTTCTGTTGAGAAACTAGATTCATGGTGGTTTGTTTTGCTATT